AATCTACACAGATTTTAAAATAAATCTCATAGTCTTGTGTTACTATCAACATAGAAAATTATTCTTTAGAATATTTAAAAGGTATCAAAATCTATTTGTAACAGAATTTTCACTCGTAAAAATTTCAAAGTTTCAATGAAGTTTATTTTGGTGATGGAGGTTTTATCTGTTGTTAATTTAAAGAAATAGAAAAAAATGTAATTTGAAAAGATCTTGTCACAAGATCTTAATAATAAGGGTAATAATAGTTATAAGAATCAGCACAAGACTTGTGCTGATTCTTATAATTATTATTATCCTTGTTGAGTTTAATTATGTGTATATTAAAACTAACCTGTTTGTATATTTTAGTTTACATATTATTATATGAAAAATAAAGGGCGGACTTGTAAACGGCGCACCCCCCTAAGTTTAAAACACGTTTTATTGAAAATGATACTTTACTGACCTAGTAAAATTAATTAATTAAATTAATTAAAGAGTAACTACATCAATTGATTATAATTGATAAATAGAAGTAAATGTAAATGCTTTGACTAACCATTAGGGATTGACACAACGAAATATATATTCATTAATTGACCGTAAGAATTAGGACAGTTTTAGTCATGATTATTAGTATATCATAGGGGTGCGTCGTTTACAAGTCTGCCGAATAAAGCCTTCTATGTTGGCTTACAATTAATTATAAACTATTTAATTTACTACACTACAGATCTATAAATTTATTTCTCGCAAAATATGTTCTTGGCCTTAAAGCATACTCAAATACAAAGTTTATATACAGTTGTACAAGACTACTTGTGAAGTACTTTTGCATATGAAGATTATATGCAGTTTTACCAGACTACTGATGAAGAACTTTATTTATAAATTGATTTATACGTTAATTATAAAGAGTTGGACATTAAAGTTTTTAAATAGAGAAAATTTGTACTGATTGCAAAACTAGCTTACATGTTCCATGTCAATATATGAGCTTTGAGGAGATTTTATTTTCATGTTTTGTTTCAACTATTGTTTGGAGGAGACTGATATACTTTTTATTGCACAACTCTAATAAAACATCATCTTAAACCATTAAACACTTTTTAAAAATTTAGAAAAATTTTGGCAGGCAATGTTAACTGTATGTGTAAAATATTATTTGAAAATTTAACAACAGAAGTGAAATTTATATGTTTGTCTACTGAACAGTAATTTTTTGTGAAGTTACATAAAATTAAAAGCAAGAAAAAGTATTGAAGTCAAACATGTTAACCAAATAAAAAAGAGAGCAAAATCAGTGATTATTTTTGTTATAATAAAATGTGTTTTGCATGTATAAACTCTTGAAATATTTAACTTGAATTTGCATGTGTGCAATTTTGCAAGATTTTTAAGTGTGTTTTTCGTCAAATGTAATGTTTATGTTCTATAAAGCATGGTCAATACAAAGTTTATATACAGTTGCACCAGACTAATGGTAACTTACTTTAAGTATGCAAAGTATAAATTTTCAGCTGAGGTAGAGGTTGTTCTATGCTCGTTACTGCATTTTTACACTGCCTTGTTAATTTAAATAGTTAAACATTTAGATTAAAAAAAAAACATTTGCAGATATTTTACCAAACTAGCTTACATGTTCCATGTAAATCTACAAACTCTGAAGAAGTTACTGTTTAACCTAAATATTGAGAAGGCCATCAATATTTTTCTTTACTTAACTTTAATAAAACATCA